TTAATTTTTAAATAGAAAAAAAAACTAAATAGTTCCGCTGAGTTTCGACTCGAAATTCATTAAATCCTATCTGTGAAGTGTTGGCTTTAAGGTACAATTTACTCTTTTTATGGGCTTTTGCGACACCCGTACAATTATTTTCACTCTTCAGAAACCCCAGAGTAACAAGTTTCGAGCGAATCCAATACATTTTTTTTTGTTTTCATTTTTCCGCCATGTTGGATCCGCCATATTGGATTTTTGAAACCCGCTTTCAGACTAGTAATCAGGCACCATAAAAATCCCCGAGTAATAAGTTTCGAGCAAATTTAATAAATTTTTAAAAATTATTCCGATATAATTGTTCCGCCATTTTGAGTTTTAAAAATTTATTATCAGATTCATGATCAGCGACTCCCAATAGCCCCGAGTCACAAGTTTCGAGCGAATTCAATAAATTTATTCCGCCATATTGGATCCGCCATATTGGATTTTTGAAACCTGACTGAAGATTTGTAATCAACTGCCCAAGAAACTAGTAGATACGAAGTGGTGTACAAAGATTCAGGATATTTTTAAATGACTTCAAACATTCAAATTTCAAGTTTAGTTATGTACCATCTTCTAATTAATCGTTTAACCACCTTTATTTTATTGTTTGCAATTCCGTAGAAAAAAGCAATAGGAAATTCAGTTACGCCAGATTTTCGGGTTGTTGAAAATTTGCGCTTTTAATTCGAAAGCTTATACCGAGACATAACACATTTGCATTCTCTTCTATATATTTTACAGATTTTTTTCATATAAGTGTGCATACATATCAACATATGTAGATACTTGTATTTTCACAATTTTTTTGAGCGGTTATTCACAGAAACGGGTTTAATGAGTTGTTCTTGACTCAAAAACAAAGTCACTTACCTCCACACGTACGGATGTGTGCAATTTTAATACTGGAATCAAACATATGATACACACAATAGTTAATAAACTTTTAAGAAAATTTAAATAGCGTTGAAACATTCTAATTATAGTCTTCACTAAAAAATGATTAGCGGGAAGTACTTAAATTTGTAACGCTTGTGTGCAAGCAAGTGTAGGTTTCTAATTTTTCGAGATTATTTTGGAAAAGTAAAAATTGATAATATTCGTTTTTCGGGGCTCTGCAAAAAATACTTCATAAATTTATTTCATCGCATCGTCGTAATGTCGCAAATTTTAAAAGCGCCCAAATGGTTTCGTGGTGGGTGTCGATTAGCACCTTTTGGAGCCACAAATTTTTTTAAACATTATTATCCCATCACATCTAAATAAAACGATATCAACACATATTTGCAACCAGTATTTACTAAATATTTTTACTGAACCGCATTCAAAAGAAATCCCTAAACTACCAATTAAACATTTTTAAAATAATTTAAACAAGTTTTGTTTACAAAACACTGTTAAATTTTCACTAATCTTTGGCGTACATAATATTTGCATATAAATCACTTTTTCCACCAACTTCAAGTTGACAAAAACGATTAAAATCGCCAGCCTTGGAAAACTGAGATATTCATTTTCTATATGGACGGCTGAGTGGAAGATGGACCTATCTCTGATGCCGTTTCAAAAACGCCCCATTTAAACATTTTTCCAACCGAATTCCGAAACAGGGTGGTCTTCAACCAGATTCTGATATAAGGCGTTTTGGAACCGGCTTCCGAGATAGGTCGATTTTCCACTAATCCGTCGATATACAATCCAGGCTTTCAGAAAAACCTAATTTTATCAATTGCCCAGAAAAAAAAAGCAAATATTGTACAATGTTACCTACATACATATGCATGCCCCAAAAGAATGGCATTTTCTAGTTTGGAATTTTAGCCTTTTCTACTATGCTTAGCAACTATAGCTGGAAAGCAATCACTCTTTGACCAATATAAGGAACCAAATTAAAGTTTAACGACAGCTTTATCCCTGGGATTAAAGTTTACAATTATATTGTATTCGTCACATTTTTTTTAGCCTTTTGCTCAAAGGAAAAAACCTGGCTTAAAGCTTCACAGACATTACTATCGCGTTTTTGATGTTTTTAAATATGTAGGTACATATGTACGTGCATACATATGTACTTAAATATGTATTTACTGACAACGTCATAGTAAATAATTTTCAATGTGTGTACAATTTATTAACTTCTGGTTGTTCATTGTTGATTCTGCCGTATGAGATATTGAAACGCACGAATGAATAAGTTTTAGATAGACTGAAGCTCACAGGCAGCATTAATAAGGTTGTATAATGTTGTTGGAAATATAAATGGAGTCAAGGTATTTTAATACAATTGTAGTTTTTTTTCTATTTTCCATCGGAAATTATTGGGAATTTTAATGAATGAAAAGTCGAAACTATATTTGCCTAGATTTTTGTTTTAAAAACAGTGGAGTTAAACAACTAAGAATATGAATGGCTTTCTGACAATAAATTTGATTCCATCCCTGTCCTGTGTAGTCTGTTTGCTAAGCGGTGGGTGTGTAAGATGCATACGTACGTATGTATGTATGTATGTATGTATAATGCATGTACATATGTATGTATAGATGAAAATAATATGCAAATGCAAAGAAACCGATTATCGTATGAACATTTACCGCGCCATTCTAAGTGGCTATTGTTAATTTCAATTTCAAAAGGCTTATGTACATATGTATGTACACATTTACAAACATTCATACCATGCAGGAAAAACGCTTTTTATAATACAGCTTTTACAAATTCAAAAAATTACTTCTTCAAAATTTCGCAGTTTCAAAAGCTTAGTTGAGTAGACGGGTACACATCTGTGTTTGTATGGAAAAGTAGCTTATGTCGAAAGGCTGGCTTTAGTATAATGCGGCATTCCCTTTATTTTTTAAACGACAAGGAATTTTTGGATGAGACTTAATCAGAATATTGGCTTGCTAGTATCGGAACTATTTATTGCACGCTTATTTGCCAAAAGTTGTTCAACGGCTCCGCGACAGTGAGTCATTTGAAATTGTATGCTTCGAATGCCGATTTATACTAAAGCCAGCCTTTCGACATAAGCTAATTTTCCATACGAACACAGATATGTATGTATTTCGGCTGTGACGTACACTCAGAAAAAAAGCAGCTTAATAGATATATTTCTCTCAACGCATGATTTGAAGGCCAAGTCGCGACAAAATCTTTGAATAAACCTGACAATTCAATACTATTCTTCCGAATTTTAACTTGAAATGACCTTGGCACGACTTCTAGATGACCTTGAAGAATCCCTTGAAGGGTCCTCTTGGGTTCATCGCAAGAAAAACGCATGTATATGAATTTTTTATTTTTATTGAATAAATTTTGTGTCATATTTGACCCTTAAATAACCTCGAACCTGACATTATGAAGGTCAAAATGGAGCTCGGATTCGCGTTCCGCGAGTCGAAAACCTCTAATATATGAATTTACAGGTTTTTTCAATGAATTTTTTTCTACTTGACCTTCAAATGACCTCGAACCTGACGTGGTGGAGACTAAAAGCTTAAACAGACGGCAGCGTTGATCCCGATTAACTTGGCCTTAATCCGGATCAACTGCAGTTAATTCCCGAGTTTATCCGGATTAACGCTGCCGTCTGTTTATGCTTTAACGGACTTCGGATTCGCATTCAGGGCGTCAAATAACATAGTGATATATAGGTTTGGTTTAATTTGCATAAACTTTTTTTTTTTATAAGCCTGTGTAATTAATGCTAACCAGTTATTGGTCTAAATTCACTAGAAATGCGCCAGTTCCCTATTAAGGGCTTTTCCTACAATGTATGTAGTTATTTCCACACTTAAAAGTGCGTTTGAAGTGGTATTCAATTCCAACAATAAAAAGTTATTAGCACGTATGTAACACAATTACTGGTAGTTATGTATATATATTTAGTATTTACCTTGCTGACTTTCTAATAATTTGGTGGTAATTTTTATTTATATGGAAATATGTTTTTGGCACTATTCACACACGATCAACACATATGTACATAAAAGTGTATGTTTAGCTGCGAGTAAAATAATAGCAGCAAAATTCAAAATGATTTAGAGTTCGATCTCTAACAGAAATAAAACTTTCAAAACTAATTAAACTTCAAAAAATGTTTCAGTGTGAGCATTTAGATAACAAAATGTTGCTTTTTAATATGATGACTAATCCATGTTGGGCATATGGAATCGGGCTTTGGAGCACAGCGTGCAATTCCATTTTGAATAGACTACTAAAACTGCATTTAAAAATTTTACGCGCCATATGCGGAGTACATGGGTATATTAAAAAAATACGAATATCCACAAAGATCTTAATGTAAACACTCAGCACGGTTAATGAACCATCCAAATCAACTAGCTAGAGATCTTCTTAGCCCGAGATATGCAAAAAGACTAAAATGAAAGGATTTTTCCGATATTATCAAATGATGCACAATATAATAAATTCGGATATGCGCAATATCAATCAATTTTGGCTCTGGAATTCATATTTTCAGACCGACTACCCAACACGAAATCCAGCAATAACTGCAATAGATATATATAAGCATAGCATTATTTTACTCGCAACTGTGTATTTATCTTAAAACCAGAGCAAAGGTCCATGTAACTATGCACATATGTATGTACATATCTATGTTCATTAGGGTGGTCAAAAAGTTAAGTCGGTGTTTTATATGAATAAAAAACAATTTATCGTAGAAATGGTATAGAATTCTGTAAAATAAATATTTTCGGTTTTTCTTCACTTCGCTTCCAATAATAATACCAATGGGGAAACCTATAAAAAAATGGGTGTTAAAAACTGAACAATTGGGTGTTATTAGTGGAGGTATGCTGAAGAGAAACTTTATATATATTTTTGGACCACCCCAATGTGCATACGTAATAAATATTATGATTTCCTAATAAGCATAAAACTATATTTATTATACATACTATGTATTTATTGCATTTAATGAAATGTTTTGTATTGGTGCGTTTTTTTAACAGGCAGACGACTGTTTGTTCGATGCGGATCTTAAGTTTGATAACTACTCATCTGATTTAGGAATTAAACAGGAACCACAATCCTACACTGATGCTGAAATGCATGCATTAGCCAAAGATCGGCAGAAGAAAGACAATCACAATATGAGTAAGTGAAATCAAATCAAATATCTGCATGAAAAGTGTGCGTTCTTAGTACATACATACATGGAATATTAATGCGATGTTAGTACATAAATGCAATTAAAAATGGAGATTTTCACTTAAGCGCTCATTTCAAAAAATAAAAAATTAACTAAAAATAAAAATAAAAATAATAAGAAAAATTAATAGAAGACAAATATCAAATTTCAAATATGAGCAAAAAATCGGTTAAAAAAATTGTAAATAAATAATTTTTGCATTTATTTTTACTCATGTAAATTTTATTTAATTGCCAGTAAGAGTAGAACTCCACAACCCGCCTATCAGGCTTTCAACGCTCTCTCCGGCTATGTATGTGTATATGTTTTTTTATGTATTACGGCTTGGGCGCAGAAAGCCACAACGCCTAAAAAGCTTGTGTGGAGTCCTACTCTAAAGCTTGGGCCATCAGGCTTTTTTTTTAGCAACTCCACAACAAACATTCCGCGCTTGACGTTTCATACATTTTGTAAATTTAAAAAAAAAAAATATTTTATAAAATCAAAACCGAATTTGGGGTAAATTTTAGAATTTATTTTGTTGGCAAATACTCAAAAGTGTAGGGATGAGTTTTCCGACAAATTAGATATCGACTAATAAATGCGAGTTCGATAAAAGTGATACTTCTTTTATCATTTAATTTTAGTTGATTTAATACTTTTGTTCACACTTTTCATATTAATGTTTACATACAGCCTTATCATGAGTTTCATTTTCCCCGAACCGGTTCACTTTTCACGTTTGGTTTATATGTATTTATCTACTATGGGCGGAATAAAAATTTTCGAATGAAAATTTTTTCGGGCGAAACTCAGTTTAGTTTAGTTTCAGCGTCTAAATTTTTTCTAAAATTCTCTTGCCTCTGGAATGAGTTAACTGTCAGACGACGGCTGAAATGTCTCCAAAGCCTGAAACAAGTCCGAAATTTGGCATCTTTCAGGCGTTTCGGACTTCGGTTGAGGAGCATATTTCTTGCAATTGTACTAAATCATCTTTTCAGGCTTGATAATAGTTTTGATTATAGAAATTTTCACTTTCCACGTTACGCCCCAAGCCAGCCAGAGCTCTTGTAAGTGTGATTGTATGTAAAATAAATATGTATGTACATATGTACATTTCTATCTGCTGAGTATGTATGTCTAAGAATGTATATATATATATATATATATTTTATTCTGTGCCGCATCATACGTGGTATTGAACTTGGCGGATACGAGGTATTGCGCGCCAAGCGACGATATATAAGTACATTATACCAACTAATGAAAACAATTCTGCAATTATTTATTTACAATCATGAACATTAACACCTGACGTATTTTTAGTCGAGCGAAGGCGTCGTTTCAACATCAACGATCGTATTAAAGAGCTGGGTACCCTATTACCAAAAACAAATGACCCATATTACGAAGTGGTCCGTGACATTCGACCAAATAAGGGCACAATACTTAAATCCTCCGTTGATTATATCAAATGCCTGAAGCACGAAGTATCGCGACTGAAACAGAATGAAATGCGACAACGTCAGATGGAGTCACAAAATCGAAAGCTTTTGAATAGAATAAAGGTATGGATGAAAGGTCGATAAAAATAATTTTTGCAAATTATATATAACGTTTTTGCCTCACAGGAGCTGGAAATGCAAGCCAAATCACATGGGCTACCATTAAGCGATTTCAATTTAACATCAGTGTCTGCTCCCCCGCCTGCTTCATATCTCAAAAGCCTCAGTCCAGCATCACCATCATCGCATAGCCATCATTCAACATCCCTAATACCCGATATGGTAGAAAAGGTATGTACATACATACATACATACGTATATGAAAGGAGTCCCAACAGTGTTATCAACATGGTTTTAATACAAAATATAAATGTCTTCCTTATTATTTCTTAGTTATCAGTTATTACAAGTGAAGCCAGTCTCAGTATTACTCCTATTGATGACCTCATGGAGGACAGTAAGCATCCAGTACAAGGTGGCGATCCCCTACTCTCCTCAAATATTAGTCACTTCTTCTCGGCGCCTCACTCGCCAACGGCAGCACAATTGCATTGTTGTAATAGTTTCGATGGCAATGACTGTGTTGGCGACAATGGTAGTGACTGCCACAATCACAGCTGCCACAACAATCAGCATTCGCTAGATGACCTCTATCAAAATGCTGTCGCTTCTTCAGCTGGCACTGCAGCGCACATTAAAAATAATTGTTGTGGTAGCAAAAGAAAAGGTATGGGAAGCGGCGCCTGCTGCCTGACGACAAGTTGCCATCAAACCAACCAACATCAGCATCATCATCATCATGACCACCGCCAGGAACACCATCAACACTCCCAACTGCAACAACACTCGCAACACGCGTTAAAACATAGTTGCGATGGCTCGTTCAATAGCAATCACTATCTACAACACTCGCATCGCCAAATGAGTAATAATGACATCAACAGTCTACCTAAGTCGCCATCAACGTTGCAGCACGGGCGTGATCCTTTGCTTTCGTCCTCGCACCACCAACAAGTGGAACCAAGTCATCCTTTGAATGGCCTGGAGCCATCGTCGCTCCAGCATCATCACCATCATCTGCATGATGAGGACCAACGCCATGATGACCTTTCCAACGCCATGATGAGTGATTCTCTCTCGCTAGTGTCGTCCGCAACAAATGACCCAATGCTACTGTCACCTGATTCCTTGGATATAGATCTGGCATGATACAAAATCAGGCAAACGCTCACAAACTTAATTTATTTTACCTGCAATTGTATTCTACAATAGAACAAAATATGTATGCAAATAACTGGCAACTCATGTGTATACAAAAAGATAATGCAAGTACATTCTACACGTAATTTTGCCGCTAATGTACATTTGTAATTATGTAATATAACTACTACTGATTGTCTTAACAATACGTATGTTTAGTGCCGTAAGTATTGGACAAAAACTATGTACAATTGTACATGTCAGAACACATGTATTTACATGTATCCATACATACATATACATATATGTATATATATATCCATATACTAATATGTATGTATATTTGGTAATAACATGATTTGTAAATCGTTACATACATATGTATTTATGTAAAAGGTATGAGAAAGTGTTTTAGATTGAAAGTTTATCTTTATGTAGTTAAATTCGTAATACATACAACTTACGCCTATGCGTATAGAACTAATTATATATATGCATATGCACACCATTATTAAATAGTTTTTTTCCCCCCTAATAACATTGATTTCAAAGAAATTTAGTTATGGATGGAGAATAGTGTGGTTTGAAAATCCGCTTTTTTTTAGAATTTTGATTGGTAATAGCAAAAATATTTATTTTCGGCCCACGCTAATGGAGCAGAGGCAGGTTACTAAGGGCCAATTTAACATCACATTAATTATTTATTAACGGTCATCTGAAATTGACATTGCGAGAAGTGTGCTCCGGGAATAGTTTTATAAATCTCACGTTTACCCAACTCATCATAAAAAGCAAGAAAAGCCAAGCCATGCACCTCATATACCCTTGTGGTCAGCTGAAGAAGTTAAGTGCCATCTTGACCAGTTTTGGCTATTTTTCTTTTAACTATTTAATGTTTATATTTTTTATATAAAACATTATATTTATATTTTTTATATAAAACATTAGGAAATTTACGTCACCAGCACCGCATAAATCCAAATTTATAAAAATTTAACAAACTTTAATAAATACACCCAACAATTTTAGGTATGCAGTTTTGTAGCCCATTAGATTAACATACGTAGGTTAAAGTGGAAATCTCAAGACGCTAGAAAATCGCGTTGATTTTTAATAATTTTTTTTTTGGCTGACGGTGTTGAGCATAATCTCCCATATAAAGTATGCTCGACAATTAATTTTATATGGATGAAAATACCAAGCGCCGTCAGCAAAAGAATTATTAAAAAGCGATTTTCTAACGCTTTAAAATTTGCACTTTAACCCTAGAAAATTTAATGGGCTATAAAACTGCATACCTGAAGTTTTTCTTACAAAATTTTATAAAAAGTTAAAAATTTTTGAGTGTAGTTGTTAAAATTTGTTGAATTTTGATAATTTTTGTAAGAAGTTTGAAACATGGATTTATGTGGTGCTGTTTACGTAATGTGCTAGACTTTTATAAAAAAGATTATAAACATTAAATAAACAAAAGAAAAATAACCAAAACTGGTCAAAGTGTCACTTAACTTAATCAGCTGACCACAAGTGTACATATCGAGCACTAACCGCCAAAATAACGTAGGCGACATTTTTTTTTTAATTTTCTTTTTGATGCAGAAATATTCCTAGAGTATCTAGATGCATTTCTGTATCAAAGAGAGTTTTGAAAAAATGTCGCTTACGTTATTTTGGCGCGATATGTATTTTTTCCGAAGGAAACAATTGGCAATTGGCTCTAGGTTTTCAGAAATATTTGAATACAGTATTAATAAAATAACAAAACTTCTAAGTAGCCTTTTTAATACTGACCGCGTGCTGCGCATTTTGCTGGCTACGTGTATTTGAAAAGTTTTTTTTTTGCAGTCAATTTTAAATTATTTTACAAGAACAGACTGAAGCAAAGTTAAAATATTTACAAATGGCTAATTTTTGTCCAGAACGACCAGGGTTAAGCAATAGTTTCGTTCCACCAGCAGTACGATTTGCAGGAATTTGCAGGATTTTACAGGAAGCTGTTCCCGTACGACACCTTGCATAAAGTTTATTAATGGTGAAAACGGCATTTGTGTAAATCCAGTAAAATCGGCAACTCTTACTGCTGCTGGAACGCAACTAATAGTTCTGTTCGTCGAGCAAAGAATTTGTTCGAATTTGTACGAATTATCATGATTTTGTTCGCGCAGACCAAAACATTTGTTAGCAAGGGGAAATTCGGAACGCAAAGTGAAAGTTATCTTGGAGGGGAAGTTGCGAATTCTTGCTGTACAAAATTTTGCCAGCACAAATTTGTGAGCAGGGTTGTGAATAAATAAATTCGTTAAATTCAAAAATTTATAAACTTTACAATTTACTAACAAAAAACGTAAGTGTATATTTGTTCACTTAATTAATTTAGTTGATTCCAATAATCCGAAAAGTACTCAGCTAAAAAAAACAGCATTCGTAGCATAGTCGATATAGGAAACCCGAAAGTCACTACGATTGAACACGAGGATGTACATATGTATATATTAGTTTAATATTTTTTTTGGTCCAATTTAATTTCCAAAAAATTGGGGTGGCGCTGGCGACGAAATATTCCGAAAAAAAAACATTAACTGGGCGCTTGGTAGACTTTCTAAATTTACATATCGACGGCAGCAAGCTCGAAAACGCGCTATCTCAGAAAACTTTACAAGAACGGCCTATTTTAGAATTTGGTTGAAGAACGCACTAGTTCAGAATTCGGTTCAAAAACGACCTTTCTCAACTTATTTTCAATATATTTTCAGTTGAGATAGGGCGTTTTTGAACCAAATTCTGAGATAGGGGGTTTTTCAATCAAAATTGTTAAATAGGGCGTTCTTCAAGAAAATTCCGAAGCAGGGCGTTCTAGATAAGTTTTCTGAGATAGTTACGTCATTATACGGGACAGTCCTCTTTTTTGACCCATTATCCTGGTAATTTATTTATTTTATGCGGGAAGCCAAATGTTCTGTAATTCTCTAAATGTCCTGTATTTGTCCCATATTCGGTGCTTCGACGCCTTAATAGCTCCTTAAAATGGCATGCCTATGAACGAGTTTTAAGTGATGTTGGTATAATATCCTAATTTTCTCCATAAACAGTTTTTATTTTCTAATCCTAATGCCTGGGATTCGAATCGAGGAATACATACAGTGACCAAAATAGAAATTAGAGCTCGACATTTTAGTAAGTTTGGGCTATTTTTCCTTAGTTTATTTAATGTTTATTATTTGTTTTATGAAAGTAAAACTTTTTTTCCTAACAAAAACCATTTAACACAAATTTTAAACTTTGTGCAAAAAACTATAAAACTTAACTCTGCAAGGTTTCCCCAAAGTTTCAATCTGTTTAATAAGAATCTTTAGAAAAAAATTTGGTTTGCAGTTTTGTAACTCATTAAAATTGAGTATTACAAAAGTGTGAGTGGAAAGTTCTGGTCATTTGCTTCTCTTTAAAAAAAAAATGGTCAAAGATACTTTGTATGAAAAATATGCGTAACACCGTCAACAAAAAAAAAAGAATTCCCAAAAATTAATGGTAAGCCTTAGCGACTTAAAAGTGCACTTTATTATACTAAAATTTACGATTTTTTTTAACAAATTTTACGGAGTAAAAATCTCGAGAAAATTATCCTACAAATTTGATATGCTACTATAAGGATACTGTTTCAGGGTTAATACATCTAGGATCATTGAAGAAGGCTTCAAGATCTGTAAGCTGTTGTGGAACAAATTTGAAAAATTATTTTTCGTCCCGTATTCGGCTCTCATAAATATGGTCACCGCAGCGATAGGGCGTTTTCGAACCGGCTGCCGGGTAATGTAGGTCGATCTTCCACTCAGCCGTCGATATGTACATACATATACTATATAGTATCGATATATGTACATTCATCCATACAAATGCACGCAACGCAAAAGACTATCATAACTCAAGAAATTAAATTTTTCAGCAACGGATGCAGAATTACTCGGTATATCATGGTGCATATTAAAATTTCGTGTAGTTTCCCCGTCTTTTCTCTGCATTTTGAGAGTAATTTGAAAATTTGAAATGCATGTCCGGAAAAATACTGTTTTTGAGTTTTGACAATCTTCTAGTAAATGAGCGATACGTATTTCGTAAACACCTATGTATTTATGGTTCCTTAAGAAGAGTGTTCGCAGATTCCTTTTTATATTTTAAGCGAAGTAAGGTAGGTATGTATCAGGGTTATTGCGAATATTCGCATTCACATTCGCAACCGCGGAGCTTCCGCATTAATTTTAACATTCGCTTTTGTATTTGCAATAATCAATGCGGAGCTTTTGCGAATGCGAATATTGTGCAAGTGCACCGATAAAACGTATATATATCAAACAAAATGACAAATTGTGGCCAATATTTTTGCTTGTGGTCGTGGAAGAATTCGGGTAACAAAACTGGTCAAATGTCATATTTATCAACTTTGATAAAAATGCCTTTAAACATATCATTTCTTATGCTATCAATGGGCAGTCATACAAGTTCCCACTTCCACTTGACCTTTGACGTACGTCAAAGAGAACATAGTCCTTTTAACACATTTTGTTTTCTGTGCTTTCAATACCCGCATTGGTTTCTTTCTTTATTATGATTTTTTGGACCAATCACAAAAGAAGAAAGATTGCACTGTAATTTTTAACAAAATTTTTGTGATTTGCTTTTAATGTTTAATATATTCGTTTAATATATTCAGTTCATTCCCTAACAAATACCATATAACCTAAGCTTAAAATTTTGTAGAACACTGATAATTCATAAAAATTTCATCAAAATTTCAAACTCTTTTCAAAAGTGTATACCCCATGATACAAATAAAATTATAGTTTAAAAAACTAAAACCTCGCTTTTATAATTTGCATTCGTACTGTCATCAGGTATGAGAATAGAAATCGCTGCATCTTTTAGGCGCATCCATATTACATAGTTACATCCCGAGCTAATAAAAGGGAGGTAATAATAATAATAAAAAGAAGGTAGTTTTATTTAATGAGATTCGTTGTTGTTGCTAACCATTTGACTTTTAATAAAATTATGACATTTCATCAAATTCATGCTAGAACAAATATTTCTTTTTAAAGCAGAAGATTTTATCAGTCCCTTCAAAGATGTGGAATATGATGGACTTGAAAATTATTCCGGGTACATAATTTCGAAAATAGGGCTGACGGAACGAGGTTTCAAAACGCATGAAGGAAGTGCTCAAAATTAATTTTTTTATCGGAGGGCGGTCTGTTCAAGCTGACTTCAAGTTTTTTGCATACCTATGTATATTAGAAATTTTAATTTAAAAATTTTTTGAAGCTAAAGTAATACGCTCACCACAAAGCAAAAAGTAAATTTGGACCAAAATATAATACGGTTTTATTTGGGAAGAACATTCTTGTTTGTTTATTGAAACTACCTTCTTTTTTGTATCATGGTATACCCCATTCAAGTTTCAAGTGGCTAAAAATTATCATTGATTTTTTAAATTTTTTTTGCCGAAGTTGTTGCGGCTTTCTCCATATAAAAATAAATTGTGTTTATTCGTTATATGGAAGCAAATGCGATCAAAGAAATTCTAAAAAATCAACGGTAATTTTTAGCCACTTGAAACTTGCATGTTTTTATACTGACGCGTCATGACGGTGGCAATTGATATCGATTGTAGCGCTGCCACTGAATTTCAAAATATGTTACTATTTTAAGAAAATTTTAAAGAACACTTAAAAGGGGAAAATTATAAGTAAAATGGTAAATGGGGTACGAAAGATTTAGGTACTTAGGCGGGTTGGGTGAATAAGCGGGGAGGTACTTAAGAGAGGGATTTTCTTCAGATTGTATTAAAAAATTCACGGTGCCCAAAAATGTTGGTTACTCAAGCGGATTAGGTACTTAAGCGGATGGGTACTTAAGCGGGTTTCACTGTATTTTGCTTGAATTTTAAAACTGGCATCGAATTTTTGTCTAGCGACCCCAAGAACTCTGATTTAGTCTAATTTATTTCAATATTTTTATTTGTTCGATAATTTTTAACGAAATGCCTGTACCTTTTAGCGACACGCTTCCCTTTTGACAGTATTGTGAGGTTAGAAATTTTTTTTTCACAAAAGACCAGACGGTACTTTCCTTGTGACAGAATATACAGCCTCATTGCGTAAGTCATAAATTAGGCTAAATTGTACAACTCGACAGCATTGCCATTGTCTACTGTCGCGCTGAAATAAGTAAAAGACCTTCGAAAACTATAAAACGCTGCCAAGTTTTTCCGTTTTAATACATTAGTCGAGTGGAAATTTTAGGCAATGAAGTGCAACTTCCGATACGATTCAACTCTCGAAAAACGAGTTCGACACGACTCTCGCAATGACGGTGATAATTTTGTAAAAAAAAACCGCCAGGTGGCGCTGCAGTCAAGATATTTACAAAATTTATACATGTGGATCGATTTAGTTCGAATTTGACCATGGAAATATTTT